TCCCAATTAGTAAGTTTTACCTCACGCAAGTCCCCCACAAGATAATCCGATGTAGTTGGAGGGCATTTGTGGAAATTGTGTTCTGTGAGGTGGGTGCACTATATTTAAGAGAGAGAACGGGCCCAAGGCTGCCGGGGGGAAAAGAGCCCTTGCGTCTTCGCATATTAATTGGGGGCAGAGGTGGGATATGAAGTTAAAACCCACACAGATCCTATTAAGTTTTGAGCCGACTGGCAGACTTAAACATTCATGAGGAAAACTGGATGCTGCACTTACGTCCACAGATATGTGGAATTTTGAGTGACATATACTCAGATCTCAGAGAGGATGAAACCTCTGATTCCCTCACACTTAAAGAGAGAGTGAAAGTGCGCTTTGGACTGACTGCAGAACAAAGCCAAAAAGCCTTTCGTGAAATTAAAAGGAAACCAGGAGAGACTTAGGCCCAACTGGGTAGCCGAATTGACAAAGCTCTGGACAGATGGGAGAAAAGTCAGATGAGCTCAAACAGCTCATCAGTTTAGAGCAACGTTTTCAAGAGGTTCCTGCTCATTTAGGCTGAAAACAGTAACTGAAGTCTCTACCTTGGGAGATGAAATCAAAGGAGACTTAGGGGGAGCAGTAATACTCAGTCCCTTCCAGAAAAAGTAATAATTGGAAACCCAGGGAGGAAGTGGGGTCTCAAAACGACAACCCTGAAGGGCAGGCCCAAGGGTGCCGGGGGGAAAAGAGCCGTGATACGAAGTTAAAACCCACACAGAAACGTACCCAGAGACGCAGAACAACCAGTTTAATAAAGGAGTGAAGTTCTTTGATTAAAAAGAGAAAAAATTCCTGTCAGAAAATGACCAGCAAGCGCCAAGCCAAAGAGACTCAGGATGACCCAGCTGCTGCGTCTGAGGAGAATCCTAATATATTGAATTAGAGATGATGAGGCTAAGATTGGAATTGTCTAAGGTTGAAGCAGAGAAAGAAAGAGAAGAGGCCAGAATGGCAGCTGCCCTTCATCTAGCAGAGATACAGGCTGAGAGAGAGAGAGAGAGAGAGAGAGAGAGAGAGAGAGAGAGAGATGAGCCCAAGAAGAAAGAGACAGGGAGGCCAAGATGGCCCATGAAAAAGAGATGCTTCCTTTCAAAATGGAGGAGATTAAGGCGAGGGCAGAACTGCCGCAAGCAATGTTGAGGGGTGAAGATTTTGCCTCAGCAAATATAAAGTATGTAAAATGTGATGGTGTGCAGGCCTAACGGTCCAAGCTTCAAAATGCCAGTTTTCAAAACGAGGCAAGTCAAATATTTGGGTCCCAAGGGGTGGAAATATTTATCCTGATTGGAGCAAGGCAAAGGTCCTTCAAGAGGGGCCTAGAGCCTCCACAGAAAGAGAAAGAAGAGCTTTTCTGGGGGGAGTGGGATATTGTCCTCCATTTATTCCTCCTTTTAGCCCCCATGCTGCTCCTTGACATGACTGGGTGAAGAAAGACCAGCCAGACAAGAGCATTTGGAGGGACCAGTGCCAGGCAGCGTTGGGACATTTAAAAACAGCCCTAGATCCGGGGTCAGCAAGCTTTTCCAGCCGGGGGCCGGTCCACCGTCCCTCAGACCATGTGGGGGGCCAGACTATATTTTTTGGGGGGAATGAACCAATTCCTATGCCCCACAAATAACCCAGAGATGCATTTGAAGTAAAAGGACACATTCTACTCATGTAAAAACACGCTGATTCCTGGACTGTCCGGGGCCGGATTGAGAAGGCGATTGGGCCACATCCGGCCCCTGGTCCTTAGGTTGCCTCCCCTGGCCTAGATGGACCTTGGGGTCCCTTCCAACTTTAGGATTCTGCTCTTCATTTTGGAAGGTGGACAAGGAGCAAGAGCAACCTGCCGTCACAGAAGGAAGAGGACGGAGTCTTCATCTCCTTGGTTGCCCTTCTCTGGGAGGCTGGGCAGATTTTGAGGAGCAAAAAACGAGGAAGCGATGATGACTCTCACTTTCAATACTCCTACTATATGTAGGCTAGAGAAGCTGTGAGATGTTTTGCTGAGGGGGGGGGGCAGGAGAAGAGAAGAGGAACGCAAGTCTTCCACCCCCAGTTATGTCTCCTCCAGAACGTCTGGCCAGAGACATTTTGACCAAAAAATCCACCTGGACAGAAATTTTACCCCTGAGAAAGAGGACATGTCCTGGGAAAAGAGGACACATGGCAACCCTTCTTCTCTGGCGTCCCTCGTAGCCGAGTAAGATTGTCTTCCCTAAACACGGTTTCAACCATGAGGCCCTCAGTGACCGTGGGGGCCAATTCTGGATCCAGGCGTCCTTCCTCGCCTGGTTGAAGGAGCTGTGAAGACACGCTGATTCCAGAGGATGAGGAGCGTCAAACACACCGTTTCATCCACACGGGTCTGGCACCCGGTGTTGGCAACCCAAGTCTAAATCCAATTCCAACATTTATGAGGTATTTTGCGGGGGTTGGGCACCCACAAACTTCTAAGAATGTCACCAGAGGGGAATAAAAGGCTTCCTAGGAAAACCCCCTTGGCTGCTCCTGTGTTGCTTCAAAGGCGACTTCACTAACAGAGAAGAACATGGGATATTTATGGCTGAAATACAGACACGAAGCAGCAGATGGGAGAACACAGAATGGCCCCCCAGCCATGTCTGGCAATGTCTCCCCCCTCCAGCTGCCCCTTCAGCCCCCCCCCCGGGACCCCCTCTTGCTGGGACAGGGCTCTCTGCCCCGCAGCCCCCCCAGACCCGCCCAGGGGCCCCCAGAGAGCAGACTCGCCCCCGGAGAAGAAACACCCCCGGGTCCCCCATCTGGCCCCCCCAAAGACCCCCCTCTCCCCCGCCCAGACGCCCCTTCGCAGCCCCGGAGCCCCAGGCAGAGAGACGGGCTCCTCCTCCCGGACACGGGTTTCCCCTTCACACGCACACGCGCCCAGTCCCGGGTTCTGGGTCCTGCTTCCTCCCTCCCCCCTCCCCTCGGAAGGGGCACCTCTGCGCCTGCGCGACGCCTCGGGCTCCTCCGCCGGGAGAGAGAAGGGTTAAGGGGAGCCGAGCTGGCTTCCTAGAGAGGACAGGAAAGGAAGGCGGGCCGCTCCTCCTCCTCCTCTCCTCCCCTCTGAGGTCCCTTCCGGCCTCGCCTTCGCCTGCCGGGCTCTGGTGGGTCTCCTCTCGGGGGAAGCCTGGGGAACTCCCTGCCCCGGGAGGCGGGAAGGGGAGGGAAGAGAGGCTGGGGGGTCCGGGAGGGAGGCAGAGGGACCTCAGGCCCTGGCCAGGGAGGTGGGACTGGAAGACAGTGCGGAGGGAGAAGGACATTCGGAGGGACATTATTGTGAGGGAGAAGGACATTAAGAGGGACATTATTGTGAGGGAGAAGGATATTAAGAGGGACATTATTGTGAGGGAGAAGGATATTAAGAGGGACATTATTATGAGGGAGAAGGATATTAAGAGGGACATTATTATGAGGGAGAAGGATATTAAGAGGGACATTATTCTGAGGGAGAAGGATATTGAGATTATTATGAGGGAGAAGTATATTAAGAGGGACATTATTGTGAGGGAGAAGTATATTAAGAGGGACATTATTATGAGGGACATTATTGTGAGGGAGAAGTATATTAAGAGGGACATTATTGTGAGGGAGAAGTATATTAAGAGGGACATTATTGTGAGGGAGAAGTATATTAAGAGGGACATTATTGTGAGGGAGAAGGATATTAGGAGGGACATTATTGTGAGGGAGAAGGATATTAAGAGGGACATTATTGTGAGGGAGAAGTATATTAAGAGGGACATTATTGTGAGGGAGAAGTATATTAAGAGGGACATTATTCTGAGGGAGAAGTATATTAAGAGGGACATTATTGTGAGGGAGAAGTATATTAAGAGGGACATTATTCTGAGGGAGAAGGATATTAAGAGGGACATAATTGTGAGGGAGAAGTATATTAAGAGGGAGATTATTATGAGGGAGAAGTGTATTAAGAGGGACATTATTATGAGGGAGAAGGATATTAAGAGGGAGATTATTATGAGGGAGAAGTATATTAAGAGGGACATTATTGTGAGGGAGAAGTATATTAAGAGGGACATTATTGTGAGGGAGAAGTATATTAAGAGGGACATTATTCTGAGGGAGAAGGATATTAAGAGGGACATAATTGTGAGGGAGAAGTATATTAAGAGGGAGATTATTATGAGGGAGAAGTGTATTAAGAGGGACATTATTATGAGGGAGAAGGATATTAAGAGGGACATGAGGGAGAAGTATATTAAGAGGGACATTATTGTGAGGGAGAAGTATATTAAGAGGGACATGATTGTGAGGGACATTATTATGAGGGAGAAGGATATTAAGAGGGACATGAGGGAGAAGTATATTAGGAGGGACATTATTATGAGGGAGAAGTATATTAAGAGGGACATTATTCTGAGGGAGAAGGATATTAAGAGGGACATTATTCTGAGGGAGAAGGATATTAAGAGGGAAATACCATGAAGATGACGCTTCCCTTCTCTCTCTATTCATAAATCTCTGTATGTCGGCCATTTCCCCTCCCTAATTCTTTTTGACTGAAAGTCCAGTTTCGAGGCGTCTTCCAGGGCAGTTCCACCCAGAGGGCCTTGCCACCGTCCCCTCGGATCCAGAGCAGGAAGTCCCCAAGGGACGGTGGCTGGAGCTAGACATGGGCCCTGCTGCTCACCAAGCCACCCAAGCAGATATGGTTGGGTTGGGGCGAAGCTCTGGACTATGAAGTGGGGTGGGGAGGGACCCCCACTGTTGCCTTGGCTCCAGATTACACTCACTTGTCACTCACAGTTATGACTTCTTCCTCCTCCTCCTCTCCCCACGCTTCCTCAGGGAACATGAGGAAAAGCTGTGCTTTGATCTTACAATAGAAGAATGTGTTTGATTCCTAGGATTTGTTGCACCTTGCACTAGAACTTGGCAGAGGACCAAGGGGCTCCTTCCGATCTCTTGGAGACTTTCGGAGAGCCCAGATGGATGAGCAAGACTCAGCTGGCCCTGAAGCAGGAAGAGGCCATGCCATGGAAACTGGGAAGAGTGGGGGATTCTGGGAAAACTCTGTGAAGAAGGAACTGGGTGAGGAGGACACCCCTTGCTCAGAGGTACAGAGCCAGCAGCTCAGGCAGTTCTGCTACCAGGAGGCCAAAGGACCCCGTGAGGTTTGCAACCAACTCTACCACCTTGACCATCAGTGGCTGAAGCCAGAAAGGCACACGAAAGCTCAGATGTTGGACCTGGTGATCTTGGAGCAGTTCCTGGCTGTCCTTCCTCTGGAGATGGAGAACTGGGTGAGGGAATGCGGAGTGGAGACCAGTTCCCAGGCGGTGGCCCTGGCCGAAGGTTTCCTCCTGAGTCAGGCAGAGGAGAGGAAGCAGGCAGAGCAGCAGGTGAGAGAGACTTTCCTCTGGATACTCCCAAGGGGCTCCAAAGAGGAGAGAGAGTATTCCCAAATCAATTCCTAATGGCCCATCCTTTTTTGGAAAGCATATTATTATTATTATTTATGACACCCATGTGGCTGGGTGCCTTCCAGCACATATAAAAGCATAAGAAGACATCAGATGTCTTCTAAAAGCTATGCATTTTCTTATCTCCTTATCACCTGATGGGAGGGCATTCCCCAGGGTGGGTCCCACTGTGGAGAAGGTCTTCTGCCTGGTTCCCTGTAACTTCACTTATCACAGTGAGGGAATCAGCAGAAGACCCTCGGAACTGGACCTCAGTTCATGGAGACGCTCCTTTGGGTATACTGGGCCTTTGAGGCCAACACTTTGAATTGTGCTGGGAAACGTTCTGGGAGCCAGTGAAGATCCTTGAGGACCAATGTTTCATGGTCCTGGCAGCCAACCCCAGACACCAGTCTAGCAGAAGCAGGAAGCAGCTTTCACCTCTGTCCCCCGAAAGCGCTTGCCTCTGCCATTCCTTCTCTAACCCTTCTCCCCATTCTCTGTTTTGAATCCTTGTTGCTCTTTCAGAGGAAGGATCTTTTGGCAGAAATGGGTCTTGATTCTTCTGAGGCAGAGAAGACTCCGCTGGACGCCAGAGTGAGGCCTCTGGGTAAGGAGGAAGGAGTGTTTTCTCCCCCGTTTTGTTACATTCTTTAATACCAATCTTTAATCATTTTGTCACATTCTTTAATACCAATCTTTAAGATACCAAATTATATAATATAAGTCCCCCCCCCGCATGCTAAAACTGATGGTTTGATGATTTTCTTGATTTCTGCATTCCAAAATCTTATTAATTTCAATTACACTCCTGTCAAGATAACAATCCTTTATACAACAGCTGCAGTATTAATGACTTCCATTCGTATTGAAACATCAAATAATATTTGTTGTTGTTTAGTCGTGTCCGCCTCTTCGTGACCCCCTGGACCAGAGCACGCCAGGCCCTCCTGTCTTCCACTGCCTCCCGCAGTTTGGTCAAACTCATGCTGGTCGCTTCGAGAACACTGTCCCACCATCTCGTCCTCTGTCGTCCCCTTCTTCTTGTGCCCTCAACCTTTCCCAACATCAGGGTCTTTTCCAGGGAGTCTTCTCTTCTCATGAGGTGGCCAAAGTCTTGGAGCCTCAGCTTCAGGATCTGTCCTTCCAGTGAGCCCTCAGGGCTGATTTCCTTCAGAATGGAGAGGTTGGATCTTCTTGCAGTCCATGGGACTCTCAAGAGTCTCCTCCTGCACCAGAATTCAGAAGCATCAATTCTTCGGCGATCAGCCTTCTTTATGGTCCAGCTCTCACTTCCATGCGTCACTACTGGGAAAACCAGAGCTTGAACTATACGGACCTTTGTTGGCAAGGTGATGTCTCTACTTTTTAAGATGCTGTCTAGGTTTGTCATTGCTTTTCTCCCAAGAAGCAGGCGTCTTTTAATTTCGTGACTGCTGTCAACATCTGCAGTGATCATGGAGCCCAAGAAAGTAAAATCTCTCACTACAAGTGAGGCACTCCAGCTGTATCCTTACTCTTCCCATGTGTGGCAATCTTTCTGTTTGTGATGTTTTTTCCTGTCCTTGTAAAATGTTCTGTCTTATCTATTCCTGGTTGTTGCTGTTCTCCATCATTCCTTGGGCGGAGCTAATATCCCATTGTGGTTTCAGAAATTCTCCATCGCTCTGTCCTGTGCTTCGTTGTTTGGCAACTTTAACAGCAGCTGCAAAAATCACACCATCCCAATAAATAATCAGTTTTTGCCATTTTTCTTCTCTGCCTGGGAAGGAGATGGATCTGTCAGAACTGCAAATGACTCGGTAATGAACCTTATCAGCTCCTACACAACTTTCAGATTCCTTACATCCCTCTGTCTGGCCTAAGATAAATGCGCATTTATCCAATTAAATTAAATTCCACGTCCTTTACCATTAATCAGTTCAGTCTGTATATAATACAGGATGGGGAAGAGTCACCTCTAATTTTCCATCGTAAACATTTTGCAAAATAGAGCTTCCCTCCCTTTTTCCTTTTTGTTTTTACACACACAGTTCCATTTGATGTTATATTCCATATCTGCAATCCAGTTTCATCCCTGCTCACCTGTACATAGATATTTTCAACTAGTATTCAATCGCAGGCTGCCAATTCATTAGCGTAGAAAAGAAAACTTTACATAAAGAAGCCATAGGCTCCCCCCCCCACCCACTGTCTTTTGCACCAAATGAAGTCTACTCTCAAATTCAAACCTTAAAGACCTTGCAGCTGGTTCAATTCCGCAGTTTATGATATCATCTCTTCCAGCAACGCCTGTACATTAGTCCAAATTGAGCTCTAATTGACAGGAGAACCTCTGCTTCTTAATGGTGGCGAAGGAGGGCTTTTGGCAGGCAAAGGGCTTTTGCACTCAGCGCCTCCCTGCCTCTCGCAATCCATGCCGGAGCCGGAGCCTGGTACCAAGACGAACTGGGAGTGAAGCCCGTTCCCCCCTGTCCCTGCGGGCAACTTGCAAGGAGAATTACCCTCAGTCATCCTTGTTTTTCCTTTGCCAACAATCTCCCGCTGCCTCCATTAAAGCAGAGCAGAACCAGAAGCTAGTAGGGGAGACTTGGACAAGCCCCATCTGTACTTAGAGATGCACTTACAGTTTCCCACTTTCCTTGGTCTCTCCCAGGTGACGGAATGATGCCACCAAGACCTGCTCCTTCATCTTTTCATGGTGGTGGAGGGGAGGCAGCAGCTGTGGACCCAGATCAGGTAGGGGGAAGGAGCCTTGTGGGGAAGGACTGCTTGGATGCAGACTGGCTGGACACAGTTGGATGCAGAGGAATGGTGGGAGGAGCCAGAGAAGAGGGAGCCGACTGGGAGGAGGAGGAGGAGGGGTCTGAAGCTGGAGAGGGAAGAGGGCTCAGGGAGCAGAGGGAGTCTGTGGCAGAGAGCAGCCCAGACTCCGAGGCAGAAGCTGCAGCAGGAGAGAGGGATGAGGAAGGCAGAGAGGGGTCTGGCCGCTGTAGAAAACAACAGAGCCAAGTGAATGTTCTCTAAGAGGACAGCCTTTTTCCTGTTCTGTTAGGGTCCAGTGTGCTTTGAAGATGTGGCTGTCCATTTCACAGACGAGGAGTGGGCGTTGCTGGATCCTGACCAGAGAGCTCTCCATAAGGAAGTCATGGAGGAGAATCGTGGGATCTTGGACTCTCTCGGTAAGGCTCCCTATTGGATCATCCTATCTGTTTTGTAATTCAAGACATCTCTCTATGTGACGAACCTCTGATATTTCAATGGGGCTCAACAGCGCCACCCACAGCAACTGGGATGTTAACACTCCCACAGCAAACCTTGGAGGGATGGCTATTGATTGTTTTCCCTGTGAATATTCTTCTTCCAGTTCTGCCATTTAAAACCATGATCAGGCTGTCTGAACTGCCCAGGCCTTCTTAAATGTAGGATTCAGAGTGATTTGGGGTGTTGTAGTAGCTTCAGTCAAGTTTCCTGCATTTGTTCTTGCTTCTGTCTCTCTCTGGTTGACCAAAGAGTCGCTTGACATTGGAGATGGCACAGATTCCACGACTGAACCAAACAAACTCCATCCCAAAACAGAGACAGGCTTTTTGAATCTCAGGCAGTGAACCCTGTAGTAACAATAATGATAATTTTATTATTTTCACCCTGCCCATCTGACTGGGTGGCCCCAGCCAACAAATAGAAAAACATAATAAAACATCAAACATTAAAAACTTCCCGATACTGAGGTGCCTTCAGAAGTCCTCTAAAAGTTGCATAGTTATTTCCTTGACATCCGATGGGAGGGCGTTCCACAGGGTGGGTGCCCCTACCGAGAAGGCCCCCTGCCTCGTCCCCTGTAACGTCTCACAATAATGTAACATTTAAGTACAGTGGTACTTCGGGCTAAGAACTTAATTCGTTCTGAAGGTCTGTTCTTAACCTGAAACTGTTCTTAACCTGAAGCACCACTTTAGCTCATGGGGCCTCCTGCTGCCGCTGTTAGCGGAGTCTGTAACCTGAAGCGTATGTAACCTGAAGCGTATGTAACCCGAGGTAACACTGTATATCTTAATTTTGGTCAGGGAACCTACCCGCTTTGGCCACCTTTTAAATACCGTATTTTTCGCTCCATAGGACGCACTTTGCCCATCTTAAAAACTAAGGGGGAAAGTCTGGGTTTCCTATGGAGCGAATGCAGGGGGGGAGGCAGGCAGGAAAAGCCCCAAGAGCCACACACAAGCTTCGCACGGCTCTTGCGGGCTTTTCCCCAGGAGGGAGAAGGGACTGACGCGGCCAGTCAGTCCCTTCTCCCTCCTGGGGAAAAGCCTTGCGCAACCTCTCCAGCCGAGGGGGAGGCTGCACAAGGCTAAAGAGGAAGCCAGGGCAGCGAGCGCGATCCATCCTCTTTAGCCTTGCGCACCTCTCCAGCCGCGGGAGGCTGTGCGAGGCTAAAGAAGCCAACTTTTTAAAAATCTCTCTATCTCTGCCTCTTTTTCTTTTTCCGTCCTTTCTCCACCCCCTTCTTTTCCTCTGGATCAGTGTTTTTATCTAACGTTTTAGTTTGAAGGGGGGGGATATTATATAATAGGAAACTTTGCAGCTTTTATTTTAGTATACAATAAAAACAGATTAAACAAAACACAAAAGAAGGAAATAGCATAGAAGAGGAAGAGAAAAGGGAAAGAGGGGGGATACAAAGCCATTTACCAGAGGTAGATCTTAACCCTTGCCTCACCTGGGAGCTTCTCTGGGCAGGTATTCCCTCTGCTTAAGTGGGGTGGGGGAAGAGTGGCAGGTAGGGGGGTACCTACCTAGACACTGAAGCCACATGTCTCTCCGATGAAAATTGGGAGTGGGCATTGTGTGAAGTGGCTGTGGATCTCCTGCCGCAGAATTGTAGGACAGTATAGAGTTGGGAGGGCCACCCGATGGTCATCCAGCCCAGCCCCCTCACAATGTAGGAATCACAGCTAAAGAACTCCAGGCAGATGGTCCCCCAACTGCCGCTTAAAAGCCTCCAGTGGTGGAGACCCCCAACACCTTCCGTGGTCATAGAATTGCGGGGTTGGAAGGGAACCCCAGGAGTCATCTAGTCCAGCCCTGGTGTACAGCGGGCGCGATCCACCCCATTGCGCAAGGCTAAAGATGCTGCGCAAGGCTAAAGAGGAGGCCAAGGCAGCGAGTGGGATGGATCGCGCTTGCTGCCTTGTCTTCTTCTTTAGCCGCGCTGGAGAGGTTTAGCTCCTGGCTGAAGAGGTTGCGTGGCTATGGATCCCGCTTGCTGTCTTGGTTTCTTTGCTCTTTGGGACTGGGGGGGGGGACCCGGGCTTCCCCTGCAGCCCCGAGAAGCTCTGGGAGAAGCGGACAGGCTGTGCGCATCCTGTCCGTGGCTCTTTGGGGCTGGGGGGGGAATAATATTTTTCCCCTTGATTTCCCCCTCTAAAAACAAGGTACGTCCTGTGGTCCGGTGCGTCCAATAGAGCGAAAAATACGGTAATAATAAAAGCACATTTTATTTATGAAGATAGTACAGATCCATATTTAAATTTGAACAAAATGACATTACCAGGTTAAGCTGTACTTTTAAAAACTAGAGAGAGAAAACATATAATATTCAACTTGATTTGTATACGAAACTAGACATTTTTACAGAACAAAAGGAACATTGTAACATCTAACTTCCTTCGGTTCTTCCCCTGTCCCAAGCATTAATTAGCATTGTTCCATATTTTGGGACTGCACTTCTTCCTGAGACTCTAATCCGTTTGCCTCTTAGTTTCAGGTGGTGAAGAATTGGAAATGAAGAACAAGGGAGACCACAATGAAATCCACACAGTGGAGAAGCCATATCAGGATTCAGACTGTGGAGAGAGCTTCAGTCAGAGCTCCCATGCCACTTCCCATCAAAGAAATCCCCTTGAGAAGAAACACTATCAGTGCTTGGAATGTGGAAAGAGCTTCAATCAGAGGGCCAAGCTCACTTCCCATCAAAGAATTCATACAGGGGAGAAACCCTTTCAGTGCATGGAATGTGGAAAGAGCTTCACTCGGAGTGCCAATCTCACTTCCCATCAAAGGATTCATACAGGGGAGAAACCCTATCAGTGTGTGGAGTGTGGAAAGAGCTTCACTGATAGCTCCTCTCTCACTTCCCATCAAAGAAATCATACAGGGGAGAAACCCTTTCAGTGCGTAGAATGTGGAAAGAGCTTCAATCAGAGGGCCCATCTCACTTCCCATCAAAGGATTCATACAGGGGAGAAACCCTATCAGTGCATGGAATGTGGAAAAAGCTTCAGGACGAGCTTTGAACTCACTTCCCATCAAAGGATTCATACAGGGGAGAAACCCTATCAGTGCGTGGAATGTGGAAAGAGCTTCAGTCACAGGTACAATCTCACTTCCCATCGTAGAATTCATACAGGGGAGAAACCATATCAATGCTTGGAGTGTGGAAAGAGCTTCAGTCACAGCCACACTCTCACTTGCCATCGTAGAATTCATACAAGGGAAAAACCATATCACTGCTTGGAGTGTGGAAAAAGCTTCAGGATGCGCTCCGAACTCACTTCCCATGAAAGGATTCATACAGGGGAGAAACCCTTTCAGTGCGTGGAATGTGGAAAGAGCTTCATTAGAAAGCACAGTTTCATTTCACATCAAAGAATTCATACAGGGGAGAAACCCTTTCAGTGCGCGGAATGTGGAAAGAGCTTCATTAGAAAGCACAGTTTCACTTCCCATCAAAGGATTCATACAGGGGAGAAACCCTATCAGTGCCTGGAATGTGGAAAGAGCTTCAGTCAGAGCTCCCAACTCCCTTCCCATCAAAGGATTCATACAGGGGAGAAACCTTATCAGTGCCTGGAATGTGGAAAGAGCTTCAGTCGGCGTGCTGATCTCACTTCCCATCAAAGGATTCATACAGGGGAGAAACCCTATCAGTGCGTGGAATGTGGAAAGAGCTTCACCTGGAAAATAAGCTTCACTTCCCATCAAAGAATTCATACAGGGGAAAACCCCTATCAGTGTCTGGAATGTGGAAAGAGCTTCACCAGGAAAGAAAGTCTCACAGCTCATCACAAAATCCATACAGGGGAGAAACCCTATCAGTGTGTGGAATGTGGAAAGAGCTTCAGTCAAAGCAACAATCTCATTTCCCATCAGAGAATTCACACAAGGTAGAAACTATTTCAGTGCCAAGAGTGTTATTGGAGGGATTTATGAAAGTTTGGTCTCATTTTTAAGTTCTTAACACAATTGGAACTCTTAAAAGGACTTAGAGCTCCCTGAAAAAGCTAAAATCAAGACAGGTTTGGACAGGTTCGTTTCTCTTTGAAGGAAAATATTTCTTCTACTCTGAGCCACTTAAAGAGAATTGGATTCCTGCAAGACAACCACTCTTATCTGGACATCTAAATTGCTATGTCCTCTTGGACACATTCTTTCTTTTTTCTTTTTTATGATTCCTCTCTTAAAGTAATTATTTGGTTTATTTGTTTAATTCGAATCTTAATTTGAGAAATTGGATTTTATGTTAAACAGCTTATGTGTGTTGGGTATCAGGCTGAAAGGAAGAGGGAGGGCTGGAAAAATGCAGGAAACAGGATCTCTTAGGAAAGATTTATTCTGTGACCTTGACAAACTGATAAGGTGCTGCTGGAAAATAGGCTGCTTTGAGAACAATGGAGAGGGAGATTTGGAATATGGCCGTTCAAAAACAGTTAACACCAGGCCTGTGTTAAATTTGGAGAAGCTATTACCCCGAATTGATGAAAATCATTAAATGGTGACTAATTTGACCACTAAAGTAGAGACACTGACAAAGAAAACAGAAGCACTAGATGTCTCCATGAAAGGAAGGAAGGGAGAAGTCTGAAAAGCTGGAAAAGAAGACAAAAAATGGAAATCAGAACAGGAGACGCTTAGGATTGATGTGGACGGTTTGGGTGGAAGATAAGAGGCAATTGCGGGAGCTTTGGCGGTTCTTGAGATGAGACAGAAAGCCCAGCCTCTGAGATGGAGAGGAGGGAGGAGAGCAGGATTTTAGCAAAGGTTTGAGCGGAGAGGCTGGGAGTGGAAGAGGAATTCATGGAAGAGGCGCCACCCTCCTCACAGCCGGGGGGGTGGCTTTTGGGTAGAAAACCAATGTGAATAAATCCCCCCAGTGCCACCCCCTGGCCGGTCTTCCGGTCTCCCTCTCCCTGTGCCCCCACCCTGCCCCAATCAAAGTCCCAGCCAGCAGCTGCCCCCCAGGCCTTCCTCCGCCCATCTTGGGGCCTCAAGGCATGCGGGCAGAATTTTGGGGGGGCCAGGCTGGGCTCAGAGGTCTGCTTTCCTCTCCTTGCGCTGGGAAGCTTGTCTACTAACTAATGGATAAAGGGTTGTTTGGAAGACTAAGCCATCTCTCTCTCTCTCTTTTTTTAAAGATATTTATTAAAAGTTTAGTAGTTACAGAAAAAAGAAGAAAGAAAAAATAAAAAGTTCGCAATACATCAAAATAAAAAAACAAAAAAAAACAAAAACATTTAAAAAACACATCCAATATCTCTATATCTCTACCTTTCATTTACTTGTATCATTGACCTCCTCACACCTCCCTTTTTTGTATTCTTGTTCAATTAGTTATTTCAGCAAATCCTTTCCATCTTTCTTAATTATTGTTCTATAATTTATCTTAACATAATCTAACCTTAAATTTCCACTTTAACCCATTAACAATCTATTTTTACTTCATTCCAGAATCCTTCTAACATTCATTAATTTTACAATATTTCAGTAAATAAAATTTGAATTTTTTCCAATCTTCTTCCACCGACTCTTCTCCCTGGTCTCGGATTCTGCCAGTCATTTCCGCCAACTCCATGTAGTCCATCAGCTTCATCTGCCATTCTTCCCGGGTGGGTAGATCTTGTGTCTTCCAGTACTTTGCAATGAGTATTCTTGCTGCTGTTGTAGCATACATAAAGAAAGTTCTATCCTTCTTTGGCACCAATTGGCCGACCATGCCCAGGAGAAAGGCCTCTGGTTTCTTGAGGAAGGTATATTTAAATACCTTTTTCATTTCATTATATATCATCTCCCAGAAAGCCTTAATCCTTGGGCATGTCCACCAAAGGTGAAAGAATGTACCTTCAGTCTCATTACATTTCCAGCATTTATTATCAGGCAAATGATAGATTTTTGCAAGCTTGACTGGTGTTATGTACCACCTATAAATCATTTTCATTAAATTCTCTCTTAAGGCATTGCATGCCGTAAACTTCATACCTGTAGTCCATAACTGTTCCCAGTCAGCCATCATAATGTTATGTCCAACATCTTGTGCCCATTTAATCATAGCAGATTTCACCGTTTCATCCTGAGTATTCCATTTCAACAGCAAGTTATACATTCTTGACAGATTCTTAACTTTAGGGTCTATCAATTCTTGTTTCCAGTTTTGATTTTTCCACCTGAAAGCCTAGTTTTTTATCCAAATTATATGCCTCCATTATTTGATAATAGTGGAGCCAGTCTCGCACTCTGTTTTTTAGTTTTTCAAAACTCTGCAGTTTTAATCTGTCTCCCCCTTGTTCCAAAATTTCCCAATACTTTGGCCATTTGGCCTCCATATTGAGTTTTTTCTGAGCCTTTGCCTCCATTGGTGACAGCCATCTCAGGGTTTTATTTTCTAACAAGTTTTTATATCTTATCCAGACATTAAATAGTGCTTTCCTGACAATATGGTTTTTAAACGCTTTGTGTGCTTTAACCTTATCATACCACAGATATGCATGCCAACCAAATACATTGTTAAAACCTTCCAAATCCAACACATCACTGTTTTCAAGAAGCATCCATTCTCTCAGCCAACAAAAAGCGGCTGATTCATAATAAAGTTTGAGGTCTGGCAGGGCAAATCCACCTCTTTCTTTAGCATCAGTTAATATCTTTATGAGGCTTCTTGCCCTGCCAGACAAATCTAGAGATATCTCTCTGCCACTTCTTGAAGCAGTCCATTTTGTCCAAAATTTGCAATGTTTGAAACAAAAACAGCATTCTTGGCAATACATTCATTTTTATCACAGCAATTCGGCCTAACAACGATAACTTCAGATTTAACCATATTTCTAAATCCTTTTTCACTTCAGTCCAAAATTTTTCATAGTTATCCTTAAATAAATTCACGTTCTTAGCAGTCATGTTAACCCCTAAATATTTCACTTTCTTAACCAATGTTAATCCTGTCTCCTTCTGAAACTTATCTCTCTCAATCTCAGTTAGATTTTTCTCTAAAACCTTAGTTTTCGTCTTGTTCAACTTGAAGCCTGCTACCTGACCAAATTCTTGAATCAGTTCCAGTACTCTTTTAGTGCTAGATTCTGGCTCCTGTAGAGTCAATACCAAATCGTCAGCAAATGCTTTCAATTTGTACTGTTTGGCTCCCACTTGTATACCTTTTACCAATTGGTCCCTTCTAATCATATTTAACAAAACCTCCAGGACCGATATAAAAAGCAAAGGAGAGATTGGGCAACCTTGTCGTGTTCCTTTCTCAATCTTAAATTCTTCTGTCACTAGGTTATTAACAATTAATTTAGCCTTCTGTTCTGAATAAATTGCACCTATACCATTTCCAAAACCATGACCAACCCCCATCCTCAGTAAATTCTTCTTCATAAAACTCCAAGAAATGTTGTCAAAGGCTTTCTCCACGTCCACAAATATCAAAACTGTTTTAGTATTGATCTTCACTTGTAGTTTTTCTAAGATATTAATTATATTCCTTGTATTGTTAGACAAGTGTCTGCCCGGGAGAAAACCCGCTTAATCTTTGTGAATTTCTAGGTGGTACTTAACCCCAGTCAAGCTAGCCAAAATTTATCATTTGTCCGATAATAAATGTTGGAAATGCAAAGAAAATGAAGGAACCTTTTTCCACCTTTGGTGGACGTGCCCAAAGATCAAGGCCTTCTGGGAAATGATATATAATGAACTAAAAAAGGTATTGAAATATACTTTCTTGAAGAAACCAGAGGCCTTCCTCTTGGGCATGGTCGGCCATTGGTGCGAAGGGAACACAGGAATTTCTTTATGTATGCGACAGCAGCGGCAAGAATACTTATTGGGAAATACTGGAAGACACAAGAATTGCCTACCCGAGAAGAATGGCAGAGGAAAGTGATGGACTATATGGAACTGGCTGAGATGACCGGCAGAATTCGAGATCAGGAAGAAGGGTTGATGGAAGAAGACTGGAAAAAATTTAAAATATATCTTCAGAAACACTGTAATATAAAAGAATGTTAGAAAAAGGTTGGAGAAGAATATTAGACCGTATTGGCAGACAGGGTATAATGGAATAAGTAAATATGAAGTGTAAAATGAGGATAGAGGAGAATTAAATACTTTCGAATGTTAAAATAAGTAAAAGAAAAGAAGGTTAGAAGGATTTGCTGGAGATACGATTTAAACTAGAATACAAAACAGGGAGGTGAGAGGAAGTCATGGAAACAAGTAAATGGGAAAATGGTTGTAATGGTCTAATTCGATTTTTGTCATTTTCTACTGTGATTTTTTGTCTTTTTTATTTCTTTTTTACTGTCTGTTTTTTGTAAGATGTATGTGGTTTGTTTTTTTTTCTATATTTTTTTTGTAACTTTAAAATTGGAATAAATATTCTTTAAAAAAAAATAATAATCTTTGTGAATTTCTTCTGCTAACACCTTTTTTAATCTTCTAGCCAAAATATCTGCAAAAATCTTATAATCCACATTAAGCAGTGCTATGGGGCGGTAGTTCTTAAGCTGTGTCTTTTCAGTCTCTGTTTTCGGTATAAGTGTGATATATGCTTCCTTCCACGACTCTGGTGCCTTTTTCCCTTCCAATATTTCATTGCAGACTTCCTTTAAGGGTTGTATTAACCATTCTTTCAGAGATCTGTAGTATCTTGAAGTCAGTCCATCCGGTCCTGGAGATTTACCCAATTGCATGTTCTGAATGGCCCCTTCTACTTCCTGTTCCGTTATTTTGTAATTCAGCATTAACTTATTTTCCTGGGAAATTTTTTGTAGTCCATTCATTTTCAAAAATTTAGCAATGTCCATTTCTTTCTGCATCTCCTGTGTATATAGTTTTTTGAAATACCTCTGGAAGCACTTTCCAATTTCCACTGGATTCTGTATATTCTTTCCTTCCACTTCCTTCTAAATTCGTAATAGTATTAAGTTTTTGTCTTTTTTTCATTTGCCAGGCCAGCAGTTTTCCACACTTATTTGCCGATTCAAATGTCTTTTGTCTCATCTGTTTAATCTTCCATTCTATTTCCTGATTCATCATTTTCATATATTGTACTTGATATAACTTTATCTCTTTCAAAATCTCCTGCGACTTTGGTTTCACCCTCAATTTCTTCTCTCCTTCCTTTATTTTTTCCAGGATTTTGTCTTTTTTCTCATTTTGAATTCTCTTCTTAATTGCATTCTGTTGTATCAAAAATCCTCTCATGACCGCTTTGCTTGCATCCCATATTACTCTCTTTTCCACAGTAGTGTTCATATTTATCTCAAAATAGTCTCTCAAAGTTTTTTGGGCCTTCTTAGTGAATTCTTCATTCCTAAACAAAGTATCATTCATCCTCCATCTAAAGGAACCAATTGGCGTCAATTTCATTTCCATCTTCACGGCATTATGGTCGGAGCAGGTCTTGGGGCAGATTTCCATTTTACTAGTCTTCGGAGTCAGTCCTCTGGTTACCCAAATTTGGTCAATTCTTGTCCATGTCATTTTAGCGTCAGGGAAGAAGGTTCCCTCTCTTCCCAGGGGGTTCTTCGTTCTCCAGATATCAACTAAATCCATATTTTCAGTCATATCAAAGAAAGTTTTTGGTAATCTTCCATCCTTGGTGACTACCTGTCTCTGTGCCTTATCCATATTTGTAGACACTACACCATTCATATCTCCCATCAAAATCACATTGTAATCCATATAGTCCATCAGAGTCTCATGTAACTTCTTAAAAAATTCTGATTTTCCTTCATTTGATGCATAAATACCTACTATCAAGAATTTTTCTCCTTGTGTTTGAATTTCAATTGCAACGTATCTTCCTTGATCATCTTTAAATATAAATTTTGGTGATAGGTTCTCCTTTGCATAGAGGACCACTCCTCTTTTTTTAACTTTATCCGATGAGATATATTCTTGGCCTAATCTTTTATTATACAGTATCTTCCTGTGTAGCCTTGTTACATGTGTTTCTTGTAAACAAATCAAGTCCAAATGCTCTTTTTTCAGTAAATGAAATACTCTCCGCCTTTTTTCCGGGGAGTTCAGTCCATTCACATTCCAACTCAAGACCTGCAGCGCCATCATGTGGTTACTTTGATGCCCCCCCAACTGCACCCAATGCTTGCTCCTCTTCTGTTGGTAATGATGATGGCACGTTCACTGGGGGGTCCAATCCAAAGGATAATGTCGATATATCCACTGTTCCCCTGTTTGGTGATCTCTCCAATACTCTTTGCTCTGGTCCTCTATCTGATGATCTTCTGTCCAATGCTGTTGGCTCTTTTCTGATTCCCTTCTGCAGATCTTCTTCGTATTTAATCAGAAACTTTATTTTATCTTCTGCTGATCTTATTTTTATTTTCCTTCCTTTAAAGCTGAAGGATAGGCCTTGAGGAAATTCCCACCTGAAGATGATTTTGTTCCTTCTCAGCAGGGCAACCAAATCTCCAAAATTGGACCTAAGGTCCAAAAGATGTTTTGGGATATCTTTAAATATTTCCACTCTTGACTGTTGTATTATCAAAGTCTTCTCGTAGTGCCAGCCCAAAATTCTATCTCTCTCTTCTTTAGATCGGAGGGTAATCAAACAGTCTCTTATTCTGTTCTTCTCCTTCTTCCCTCCTCTTCCAAGTCTAAAGGCCCTCACAATTCTGAACTCCTCTTTTTCCAAGTCCAAATCCCAGCAGTCTGCAAATTCCTGCGTAAGGAACTCTAACAAAGAATCCTTTTCCAGTTCAGGTACAGCTCTAATTCTCAAATTTGTCTGTTTTTCCTTGAGCTCAATCATAGAAAGCACCAACTTGTGGTCCTCAAGTTGCTTCTGTAGGTCTGGAACTCTCTCTGTTTGCAATTGAGTTACCTTTGCCTCCACGGCAACAACTTTTTCCTTAGCTTCCTCTGCGATCTGTCGAGTCGAATTAGACTCCTGTATCAGTTTCTCAAATAGTATTTGTATTAACTTTTTGTCCCAAACTATTTATACTTTGTGTGTTCTGGTCTAATTTTTTATTCATTTGTTCCAATGATTCATTTATCTTACTTAATGCAAGCGCTAAGGTCTCTTCTGATATCATTCCTTTTGATTTAGAGTGTGTTGATACAGCCACAGATGGGGCAGGAGGACCAGATGTAGAGGCTCTTCACTGCCAAGACTTCCCAGACCTTGTTGTTTTGTCTTGGATTGGCGGGTCTATTTTTTCTTTTCCATCTGCCATAACACTTAAACACTTCAAGGTCAATTCCGCAGTCCCAGAGTCTTATCTTAGAATTGGAAAATTCCAACCCTTGTAGCAATTTCAGAAACCTCCTCTAGAGGGAAATAGTTACTAATTATGTTATGTTAGCCCAAAATGTCACTTTTTAAAACACAGTTGCACCATTAGATTTAGTATCAAGTCTCAGTTACTATTACTCAGTTACTCTTACTCCTTTTGCTCCTTTTTGAGATCAGAAGAGGATGGTTAAAACAATGTATCACTCTTGTTTCACTGGCTGTCAGCAAACGGTCTATTCACAGTCAATGCACACTCCAAAATACAACAATCTTAATGGCAGCCCGTTTCCAGGTTCTGAGCGGTGAAAATTTAGCTTCTTTCCCTCTCTAAGCCATCTCTACCCCCCACCCTGTTTTGAAATAAAACCAATTTAAGAATTGGGGACATGGAGGAAGGAGAAGGTTATGTACTAAGCTTGGATCCTAGAACAATAGGTAAGTAGGATCCTAGAATGCAACAACTGATTGGTCTGCAGGAAAAGACCAGTCAGGCTCCAGGAGGGAAGCAGAATCAGCCAATCAGATGGGACTAATTGTGTAAATAATGTATATAACAGCCTGAGGTTTGGGGGCAATTAAATCACTGTTTTACAAGCTGCAATAAAGAGCATGAAATCACTACAGGGCTCCTGAGTAGATTTCAGAGAATCTAATGCATCTTTGGTTGGGATTGTCCACCAAGGAGATTGGAGATGGTTGCCAGTCAAAGAGTAGTTTAAGACACGGGGGGGAAAGAGCTCCTTGTGAAAGGGGGGGCAGTTTTGGGAGACATTCCAGCCATGGCATTGGCAGCCAGATGAGGAATCCTGGAAGAGGACACTCCAGATTCATCTAGTCCAACCCCTGCAATTCAGGAACCCCGGTTCTTAGTCCCGCCAGCTCCCTTGAACTGGGCAACTCAGATGACTGAAGCAGCGCCCCGTTGGAGAGCAGCCTTGGGTCGCCTCTGGAGCTGGCCGGACCTTTTGGGCGGCTGTTTTCATCCCCCCTGCCTTCTGCTGGCAGGCCCGGTTGGGAGTTGTAGTGCAAAGCCCATTGAGGGTGCCTGGTCCTGGAGGTGGTTTTCAAGTTGGAACTATGTTTTGACCCTTTGCCAACAGGAGATGCCACAAAGTGTGTGGGGGGGTGTCTTTTCAGTGCCAGGATACAAGGTGCTCTCTTGACCTGGGAGCCCAATCCCTCTCCCCCACCCCTAGAAAAGGGGGTCTTCCCCTCATCCTCTCCTTGCAGGACCCCCTTTTCCTTCCTCTTTGCTCAGAGTCGGAACCAACTCTCTCTCAAGGGACCCTGGAGCCAAACCCTTGCAGAGTTTTACTTCTCAAGCAAAGGGTGGGAAGGAACACATTCTTGTTGCTCTTGAGATGTACAGAAATCTGTTCCCCGCGGAGGGAGAAGCTCGCCAGGCCCCCAAAGTCCCCCGATGGAGCAGCTCTGCACCTGCGCCACACCCCCTGGCCCCAAGCTGGCTTCCTAGAGAGGAATAAAGGGAGGAGGCTCCCCAGAGCACAAGCTCCGCCCCCATCCGAGCTTTTGTCTCTCTGCTCCACAAGTGCTGCCTGGGGGCGCCTTATGGGATCCGGTGAGTTGCCTTGGGGAGATGGGGGGTCCCAGGGCTGCAGGGGAGGGTCCCCCCAAGAAGACCCCTCTGGGGCCCTGGCTCCTGAGAGAGAGAGAAGGGAACGGGGGCGAGCTCCGCTTTGCAAGGGCTCAGAAGAACAGCCATGAGGGCCAGGGAGTCATGATGAGGGACCCCCAAAGTCATCTAGCCCATCCCCAGCCAGCCAGGAATCTTCTGCCCAGCCTGGGGCTTGAACCCAGGGGCCTGAGATCAAAGAGACTCATGCTCTACCCACTGAGCTCTGCTGCCATTTCTGGAAGAAAGAGAGAATGTGAGCTTGGTTTGCTCCACCTTGCAAGGGTTAAAAGGAACTGAGGTGCATTCCTAGAGATGACAGGGAATAAGGGGGGGAATGAGGTCCTCCTGAGCAAATGCCCCTCCCTCCTTCCCAGGATCCTCCCTGCAAGAGGGGGAGGGGGCTTTCATTTCCTGCTGGAGCTGCCTCAGTTTCCCTTCTGGCATCTGGTGAGTTTCCTCTCTTTTCTGCCCTAGGGTGCATTGGGGAGAAGTGGGGCGGGTGTCCCAGGGTTGCAGGGGACGGATCTGTGGGGATTCTGCTCAGCTCCTGCAAGGGGATCCCCAAGCCAGGGCTAAGAGGTTCTGCCCCCCTTCTCTCTGCAAAGCCAGGGAGGCTGCAAGTAACAGGAGGTCTGCAACTCTTCTCTTGCTCCTTTGGGGAGGGGTCACTGAGTCAGGAAGAAAAGGGCCTGCAAAGGAACCCTGATGCGATTGAGGAATCAGCCACGTTCCTTAGCCCAGGTGGCAGCCAGATGGAAACATCTGGAGGCAGAAATAAAAACTTGGCCTCTGTGCTAAACAAAGTCCTTCCATCTCGCAGTGCGCAGTTAGACCCATGGAACTCCCTGCCACAGGAGGAAGAGATGGCTTGAGAAGAGGATGAGGCCAATTCAGGGAGGAGCAGAGGGCTAGCGATGGCTCCAGGCCCCCCAGTGGGAGGCAGCCATGCTTCTGAAGGGGGAGAGAGTTGCCCTCAGAACAAAGACAGAAGTCTGGAAAAACACTGTGAGGAAGAACCTGGGTCAGGAGGACACCGTCTTCTCAGAGGTGCAGAGCCAGCAGCTCAGTCAGTTCTGCTACCAGGAGGCCAAAGGACCCCGAGAGGTTTGCAGCCGACTCTACCACCTTTGAAGAAGAAGAAGAAGAGTTTGGATTTGATATCCCACCTTTCACTCCCTTTAAGGAGTCTCAAAGCGGCTAACATTCTCCTTTCCCTTCCTCCCCCACAACAAACACTCTGTGAGGTGAGTGGGGCTGAGAGACTTCAGAGAAGTGTGACTGGCCCAAGGTCACCCAGCAGCTGCATGTGGAGGAGCGGAGACGCGAACCCGGTTCACCAGATTACAAGACTACCGCTTTTAACCACTACACCACGCTGGCTCACGCTTTGCCATCAGTGGTTGAAGCCAGAAAGGAACACGAAAGCTGAGATGCTGGACCTGGTGATCTTGGAGCAGTTCCTGGCTGTCCTTCCTCTGGAGATGGAGAACTGGGTGAGGGAGCAAAGACTGCATCAGCCAGTTGCATCAGCTAGCAGACTCAAGCCTGCAGACTTACTATCTCACACAGCATTCTGGGATCCCAACACTCCCCACCCGGCAAGAACAGCACAGAGGGACAGAAGAAGGGATCCTTCCATGTGGCAAACGGGAATGTTTGTGCACAGGATTAGAAGAATGATTTGAAGAACACCAGTTTCTTAATGCCCTTCATTAAAATACTCAATGAATAATTCCATTAACACACCAAAATATGCATCCATAAAATGTGCAGAAAAAGAATCCAATTAATACTGAACACCAATGAAGAGGCAGAAAACAACAAAGTGTAACAGTTCACCTTTATGTTATCTAAGAGGACAACCTTTCTCTTTTAGGGTCCAGTGTGCTTTGAAGATGTAGCTGTCCATTTCACAGATGAGGAGTGGGTGTTGCTGGATCCTGACCAGAGAGCCCTCCATAAGGAAGTCATGGAGGAGAATTGGGGGATCTCGGACGCTCTCAGTAAGGCTTAATATTATGCCTACCCCCCTCCAAGACGGCCCCCTTTTGCTCTTGAAGGGCTGGTCTGTCTGCAGCCCCCACAGCCTCCCATCAGGGCCCCTTCACAGGGGCAGAAGCAGAGGAAGGGCCTCAGGAAAGCAGCCATGGCTCTGGCCAGATGCACAGGAGGAGGAGGAGCGCTGACCGCTCTCCTTCCCCCTCAGACTCCATCCATCAGCAGCCCCCATCCCCTCATAGGGGCAGGGCCACCAGAGGTGCAAGGTGCTGAGCAGGGGGGAAGATCCTCCAGGGCAGATAAGACCCCCCCCCCATATTTTTTCCAGAGTCCTCTAAACTGCCCAGGCCTTCTTAAATGTATCTTCAAAGTGATTCAGGAAGTTGAAGTGGCTTCTGTCATCCTCAGGGGAGAAACCCTATCAGTGCTTGAAATGTGGAAAGAGATTCATTGAGAAGGCCAAACTCATGATCCATGAAAGAGTTCCCAGTGGGGGGCAATGATTTCAGTGCCAAGAGTGTGGAAAGAGCTTCAGTCACAGGGCCTGTCTTGCTTCCCATAAACAAGCAGGAGACACACGCCTGTTTGTTGGCATCAGGCTGCAAGAAGCTCAGGGGAAGTGGCAGGTTGGGGCACCTAGGAGAATATCCTACACCCACCCTAACTGTGGTTTAGCGGACGGACTAAGAGCCCTGGAGTGGGGAGACCTGGGCCCATTTGACCCCATGGCTAGGAGCTTTGGAGGGAGGTGGGGAAGATGGGGAGTGAGAGGAGCTGGTTCTGGGTGGAAACATCCACTCTGAGGAAAGATCACCAGCTAGAGAAAGGAGTCTCTGAGCTTAGTGGGAAGGACAGTGTGTGGTGTCCTGGGAGAGTAAATCAGGCCAGGAATGAACTGGGAGGCTGAGCCAGGAGAAGGAGGAGCTGGAAGGAGACCGGCTGCTGAGCTCTCATCCCAGTCAGGAGGGGAGAGATCCTTCTAGAAAGAGAAGACTCCCAAACCAGAGATCCCTTGGGTCTTTTGCTTGGAGTACCTCAGGAGTAGGGTAACTGGCAGAAAGTGCCACCTTGTTAAGAGCCAAAGTCTTAAGTGTGAAACAACTGAGAAAACCTTGAAGGGAAATAACATTGTAAACTGAAATATCCTAAGTTTTATCCACTCATGTCATAAACTTCCTTGTTAAATAAATTGTTAATGTTTATTTGAACAAATCTTGCCTGAGACTCCCAATTTGTAAGTTTTACTTCACGCGAAGGACAGATCGTGAAGCTGAGGCTCCAAGACTTTGGCCACCTCATGAGAAGAGAAGACTCCCTGGAAAAGACCCTGATGTTGGGAAAGATGGAGGGCCCAAGGAGAAGGGGACGACAGAGGACGAGATGGTGGGACAGTGTTCTCGAAGCTACCAGCATGAGTTTGACCAAACTGCGGGAGGCAGTGGAAGACAGGAGGGCCTGGCGTACTCTGGTCCAGGGGGTCACAAAGAGTTGGACACGACTAAATGACTAAATGACGACGACCTCACGCGAGTCCCCCACAAGATAATCTGAGGTAGTTGGAGGGCATTTGTGGAAATTGTGTTCTGTGAGGTGGGTGCACTCTATTTAAGAGAGAGAACGGGCCCAAGGCTGCCGGGGGGAAAAGAGCCCTTGCGTCTTTGCATATTAATTGAGGGCAGAGGTGGGATATGAAGTTAAAACCCACACAGATCCTATTTAGTTTTGAGCCGACTGGCAGACTTAAACATTCATGAGGAAAACTGGGTGCTGCACTTACGCCCACAGATATGTGGAATTTTGAGTGAAATATACTCAGATCTCAGAGAGGATGAAACCTCTGATTCCATCACATTTAAAGAGAGAGTGAAAGTGCGCTTTGGACTGACTGCAGAACAAAGCCAAAAAGCCTTTCGTGAAATTAAAAGGAAACCAGGAGAGACTTAGGCCCAACCGGGTAGCCGAATTGACAAAACTCTGGACAGATGGGAGAAAAGTCAGATGAGCTCAAACAGCTGATCAGTTTAGAGCAATGTTTCCAAGAGGTTCCTGCTCATTTAGGCTGAAAACAGTAACTGAAGTCTCTACCTTGGCAGATGAAATCAAAGGAGACTCAGGGGGAGCAGTAATACTCAGTCCCTTCCAGAAAAAGTAATAATTGGAAACCCAGGGAGGAAGTGGGGTCTCAAAACGACAACCCTGAAGGGCAGGCCCAAGGGTGCCGGGGGGAAAAGAGCCGTGATACGAAGTTAAAACCCACACAGAAACGTACCCAGAGACACAGAACAACCAGTTTAATAAAGGAGTGAAGTTCTTTGATTAAAAGAGAAAAAATTCCTGTCAGAAAATGACCAGCAAGCGCCAAGCCAAAGAGACTCAGGATGACCCAGCTGCTGCGTCTGAGGAGAATCCTAATATACTGAATTAGAGATGATGAGGCTAAGATTGGAATTGTCTAAGGTTGAAGCAGAGAAAGAAAGAGAAGAGGCCAGAATGGCAGCTGCCCTTCATCTAGCAGAGATACAGGCTGAGAGAGAGAGAGAGAGAGAGAGAGAGAGAGAGAGAGAGAGATGAGCCCAAGAAGAAAGAGACAGGGAGGCCAAGATGGCCCATGAAAAAGAGATGTTTCCGACTTCCAGGTCAGCGCCATCGGTGAATGGCGGAGTTCCTCCGACCGGAGGAACGGGCTCCGTGAAAACTGGGTCTTCCCGCTGCGGCGAAGGTGGGGACCCGCTAGAA